CCTTTCCACTGGGTAAGCATAGGTTCCGCTGGCTCACATTCAATTGGCAAGCAGCAAGTCATGCCACAACACAAGACAAGCGGCAATGGGAACACCATGCAATCTCATGCCAAATGCCATGCTGCGTCGAAACGAAGGCCAAGGTCCAGATGCAGAGCCCAAGGCCAAGGCATCAAGAAGGTTATCCATGACAGAAGAGAGTGAAAAGAGGATGGACCCAAACGGCAGGCCCAAGGCCAAGATATGAAGAGTGCTCCAAGGACAACAACCCCTTGCACCGACCGAGCGGCCAAGACTGTAGTGCAAAGCATGAAAATCAAAGGTATCAAGCATACTAGAAGGATTATCCTCTGGGTCAGCATATGGCAAGCACATCATCATGATGCACACAACGACATGCAGCAAGGGCAACCCAATCTCATGCCAGAATGTGCCATGCACATATTCTTACTCATGTCAAACACTGTCTGTCACAAAAACATTCACACAGGAACCCAAAGGCAGTATCCGGCGGCAATAACTGACAAAAAGGCGACACAGGACCGGTCAAGGCACGAAGAAAGGAAACAGTCAAGCGAGTCAAGTGAGTCAATCGATCACAAGAGGCCTCCCATGTAATATGGACAGATGCGGGTCTCGCCCCACCGCCACATCCACTCCCTGTACTCCATGGTGTCCTTCCCAGAGCCCAGCAGGCACATTGGCACATTGCCCTGCTGTCGTCTGCTTCCCAAGGCTGGAGCATGTTGGCCAAAAGCTCTGTCAGACACAACATGGTTCCAAGAGTGTGAGCTCCAAACCCGGCCAATGGTTTGAAGGCAAGCCCGATGTTTTTTTTGGGTTGCCTTGCAGGCCTGCCTCTTGGTAGAGCCAAAACTGACACGAAGAACAAGCCAAAAGCGACCGCACAAGACAAAGAGCAGGACTTCAGGAAGTCAAGGGCCAAGGTTCAAGAATCAAGTGCAGTACAGAACAAAGCCAACTATAGCCAAGCATGACGAAAGGGCGACACAGGACCAGTCGAACCACAAAGGACTGCAACACAGCAGGCAACACTGAAGGACACAACACTGTGCCTCCCCTTGACAGGCAGGTGTGAGCGATAAATCATCTTACACCTGTCCATGGAAGCAGTCCCCCAACAGAAGCTGGGGGGCCGATGCAGCAAACCTGCTACCATGGCTTAGTAGGGAAGGTCTTTTGTGTAGCCTTGCTGCATGCAGAAGGGGCGGACCCGCAGGCTGGCTATCTGTTCAGCCAGCACTGCTCTGCCAAGGCATGTTTCTATGTGACATTGTGATTTCAGTCCCCAATGCATCGATAGTGTTAGAAAAGGTCTGAAATCAGGCTACCTGAGGATCCACAGCAGTTGTATCCCCCGAAGCACATAGCTCACTTGATGCATGCCCCTGTGCATCCTCCTCGTCCAGCAGATCAAGCAAGGCCGATTGTATCCAGTTCTGTATTTGCAGCATCCTTTTCCATCTGATGCCAGGCCACCAATCTATCTCACATTATTTGTGGAACTGGTGGCTGGCCTGGGTTGTGGGATGCCAGGGCTTTTCATGCAGGGCTCCACTGACTCAGCAAACGACCGATGACCGTCAGTGGCTTGCTGAGCTAGTGGAGCAATGCATGAAAGGTACCTGCCGGCGATGCAGTCCTTGTCATCTCCCTCTTCAGCTGAAGACTCGTACGCAGGTCAAAGCATCACTACCAAGTGGCCAAGAAGTTAAAACAGTCTGGATCGCTGTAGATCTATATGCGAGCAAGAAGCTATCTAACCCAGATAGCCAAGAAAGCAGAGATAAAGTCCAGCGTTTTTTCATAAACACAGTCATCCGAGCCATCTGGTCGCTTCAGCCAACATGCCTACGGAATGATCAGGACCCTGTTCCCTGGCCAGGCACACCTCCACACTATAACAACGACCAAGACAGGAACATGGACGCTCCATTCAAACACAAACATTTTTCTTTGGCATTAGCTGGGTCGCTGTGGCAAAACTAGAACCAGGCCTCATCTGGTTCTGCTTCTGATCCCTGGACCTCTTCGTCCAACTCCTGTCATATGTGTCTTCTCGGGGACAAGATCTGCAAGAGCATGGGAAACAAAAGCTCCTTCAGCATATCTTCGAGGTCTGCCTGGGATCACTGAAGGCAGCACTCTGGCAGGGCCAACTAACTGGCAGAGAGAGAGCGAGAGAGAGAGACAGAGAGAGAGATACACAGTGACATTGACCAAGAGAAGTGGTCAGAACCTGATGCTGCAAGCTAGATTCTTCTATCTGTGCATCAGTCAGGCCAGGTGGAGGCTCATGATCCGGTACATGTGGAGGCTTGTGCTTTGGCTTTGCTGCAGACGCTGAGGCAAACATTGCGCCGTCGCTGTCCTGATCGGTTCCAGGAAATGCAAGTGGCCCTTTTTATCAAAAGGGCCACTCAATCGCTGCACTTAAGGGTACCCTACATGGCCAAACGATGAAACTCAGCATGTAAGCTTGGTAGACAGGCTATGATAAGATTAACAAGTCAAGCAGCTGAAGAGTCGAGGCAGTCGGATGAGGCTTTCTCTGCTTTCTTCTTGGACTCCTTGGACTTCTTCTTCTTTTTCTTCTTCTCGGGCCCTACCCCAGTCGGTCCCGTGAAAGCCACGGCCAGGCAGTCCAGACCCAGCAAGCTGGGTTTCAGCTTGAGTTCGCCCTCAACGAGGTCACAGTACAAAAGTGCCTCCTCATTATCGTCCGGGCTCTCGCGCAAGTCTTCTATGGCCGGCCTCTTCTTGCGGTGCACTAGCCCGAAGTCTCGGGTCTGCACTGGGACCTCTGGCATCAGGCTTTCTGCCATCTGCCTTAAGACCAACAGGAGAACATGCTTCCTGCATACCCCCAAGAATCATGGAAGAACTACGACAGAATGCAGCATTGATGCTTCCTGTTCTCGTTGGAGCAGATGGCTTTCAAGGAGATCCTCTCGGCGGGCTCGGACCTGGACCGATCCTGGGCACAACAACAGTGAGTAACTCAATAACTTCTTCCACACACACCCAGTGCACCCAACACCTGTCCCAGCACATGGAAACACAAAAGAGCATGTCATCCTCTTGTTCTAGACTCGGACCCAACACTCCACCTGCAGACACAGCAATCCAGGGTGGAGTAGTTCTTCACCAGGTGCCAATCGCCCCGGAGACCCAGCTCAATCGTCAGTGGCAGCCTCCTGTGTCTGGCGACGAGGTCCCCAGAATCGGATCCCTCGAGGATGAACCAGCCCACCTGCATGGATCCAGAGGTTTACATCTAAGTGTCAAAGGCAATATCAATACAACAAAGAACCTGACGACTCAGGCAAAACAACAACCTCACGACATAGAAAAAGCCATGGGTGCAACAGATGTCTTCCTGGAGAAAGCTACCTCTCAATCCTGCCTCTCGGTCCCAGTCCAGGATCCCGAGCTCCGGCGCTTCGAATCGGGCCAAGGGGTGGCCGAAAGCAGCATGTCGATCCCTTGCAGACTCAATCACCCGGGCCAATGAGCGCTTTCCTGGATTGATTTGTCCATGATGCATTGTCATTCAAGGCAGGTCTTGCAAGCCAAACTAAGTGCAGGGAAGTTACGGCCCTCACCCGTTTCGCAGTATGGAAGCAAGTCTGCATCGCATGCATCGATCGCATACATGAGCAGCTGCAGCTTGTCGCCTGGAACAAGTTTCTGCAGGGTCTCCTCAGACGTCGGGCCATCCATCAGCTGGCTCAGGATGAGGTGGATCAATCGGTCCGGAAGCTTCTTGTATCGGGCCACCTTGATCTCCTCGTCCGGCGGTGCTGCTGCAAGTGCCTAGGTTGAGCAATCACACGTGCGAAAAGAATACCAGCCACTGATTGCAACACGAACACATGTGACATCCCAGAAGCCAGGGTGGTTGTGTTGGAGGCCACCGGCTCCGTGTCCTTGAAGAGGTCCTGGTCCATCATCTCGATGAGTCGGCCCTGTGTCTCGACGGAAAGCCTATGCAGAGCAGGCTTCTCAGGAGAGGGCCAAAAGAATTACATCTGACCGATGCGGCAACACCTCTATCAATTGAGTTCTTGGCTTTGGAACCATCTCTTTCAGTTTCTTCATCACTGTGCTATGGCTCGTTGTCTGGAGGAGTGCTTGAAGTCGTTGCAACTTCTTCGCTTGTGCCATGGCTGGAAGACTGGGCCCAGCAAAACTCCTCGGACCTGGCAGCCACATCGCAGCAGGAAGTGTTAAGTTCTCGTGGCATTACACCACTGCAACCTGGCAGTGTCCACTCAATTCTTCTGTAGACCCACTCGGCTTGCCTAAGCTTCACAGACGAAGGAAAGCCACTTCGCCCCGAGCTGGACTGCGTCGGAGGACACAGCAAGGCACAAACCAGTGCCTATGATTTGGGCCACAAAAGTAGCTGTGTGCATAGCAATGGCTCGGTTCTCCAAGACTTTAGAAGCAATCCTGGCTAAATTCATTGTTTTTTCCTGCACGTCAGAACTGCAAGCAGTCAGTATTTTTCTTCCTTGCAGGAATGCAAAAATGTGGTACCAATCCTTGCTCAGTTGCAGATTGGACAAAGTCCCGGCAAGAGACGTCTCGGACCAGGCAAGGAGCTGCAATCGGCACAATTATTTAAATTTATAACAGCCAAAACTGGAAAAGCCTGGAACCGGACTTCTACAAACCTCTACATTATCTTCATGCCCTGCCGCATGACTTCTTGGACCTTGTATGTGCTCCTGGAATATGCAAAGCTAAACAAACTCCTGCGGCTATGCATGAGCAGGTTGCTTCGAAGCAAATCGGTCCAAGAATCGGCCACAGGCCTACTTAAAGTCGGGCAGCATTTGTGCAAGCTGCTTCGTTGAGAAAAGAGCATGACAGGTCACCGTTCGAGAAATTTGACCATTCGCCCCCACAGCCAGAGCTGCATCCTGACACAGCATTGGTTTTGGACTCTACTCTACAAATGTATCATGTGCACATCAAAACATGTCCTGGCAAGGTGACAAGCAAGCTTGTTGGTCCTGGGTCGAGTAGTTGTTGATCAAGGTCCATCTGGCATCGCCCAGACCTTCAATGGCAGCAACTTCTCCAGAACGGATGTGTCGGACCTGCTTCTTGTCAAGGTCGAGATCATACTGTCTGCATTCGTCGACCTGATGCAAGGATTCAACTTTTCACGGTGCTATGATGTTGTGATCCTGGAAGCCTATGCAGAGTCTTTGCAGCTATGCTACATGCTCGGACCAGTTCTTGGTGTCGATGTGCTGCAGCACCGACCCCAAGGAAGTATGCCGTTCCACTGCCCAAGCAGCCAAGGCAGAGTACTGTCTGACAGCCTTTCCGCCCTTTCGGTCTGTTCGGGCTCTCTTCTTCGGGCCAGCATTCGGGCCCGGCTGCTCAGCAGCAGGAAGAATGCTGGATGCACTGAGGTCCAGTGCGAACATCCAGACGAGCCTGCGGTCCCCTGTGGACCGAGGGAACGACGTGGAGTCGCTTATGTTGAAATCGGCCCGCAGCTTCGACAGACAATATTTCACGAATTGGTCTGGAGCCCTGTCCACTCGGGCCGTCGTCACCAGCTTGTCGTCATATGCCGCCAGGCAGTCCTGATTTGGGAAAGAAGCAGAGCAAGCAGGAAGAGAAACGCACCTGGTGAAGTCAGGGCAAGTTGCTTCCGTCGGGCCATCGAAAAGCCCCTGCTCCAAGTACTTGAGGACCTTCATTGCCAGAGCAGCATTGTCCTGACATCGGGCCAGGATTGTTTTTGCCTCTGCCGATGCGACAAGATCATCGATGGAGCTGGCCAGGCTGGCTCTCTTGACGCCCATGGCTGCACAAGTGCTGCAAAACTGCTACACTCGGGCCAAAACTTCTAGAGACACAAAAAGCTTGGTCACTTCTGGCATGCTCACCCGGCAAGGCCCTTGCCCACGGAGCCTGGTCGTCATGCAGTTGCTTGGTGTCCAAAGCACCTGCAACCCAGACAGATTGCAGAAGTATCATCAAGGTTAAGGTGGTTCTGGCAAGCAACAGCAATGGTCAGAGCTGTTCCTGGTCTCAGTCTGCCAGAATTGAAGCATGTCAGATATACCGAAGTACTGCAGGCCTTCTTTGGCTGAGTGCCACATTCAGGAGCAGAGGACATTCAGGCGATGGTTTCTAGAAACACAAGAGTTGGCTGATGAAGGAATTTCGTCAGGTTCTAAGTAGCTCTCTTTGGCTACGGCTACGAGATGCTCAACTTCCGGAAATGTTTGCAAAACCTTGAACAGGGTGTGACCGGGTCTGGTGCCTACTACATAGTCTGGCCTGGATTCAGTGCAGATAGATGCAGTTCTTCTCTGGGGCTGCAAGCCGGCACGGGTTTAGGTTTCCAGAGACTCCCAATTTAGGAGTACACCTTGGACTAGTTCAGGAGTACACCCTCATTCCAAGGGGATCCTAAATTACAAAGGGATCGGTCCTCAATCATAAGGCCATCCTCAGCATGATTTACACTATGTATGTATGTATGTATGTATGTTTGTGTATGTGTATGTATGTATGTATGTATGTATGTATGTATGTATGTATGTTTGTGTATGTGTATGTATGCATGTATGTATGTACGTACCTATGTATGTATGTATGTCTGTCTGTCTGTCTGTCTGTCTGTCTCTGTCTGTATGTACACATGTATGTATTTATGTGTGCATGCATGCATGTATGTATGTATGTATGTATGTATGTATGTATGTGTGCATGCATGCATGCATGCAAGTCTGTATGTAATTTGTTACGTAGTTATTTATGTACTTGCTTGCTTGCTCACTTCCTTGCTGGCTTACTTGTTTACTTGCTTACTAAAAAACATGCTTAGTGATCAAACTTGTTTGTTCGACATTTGTCCATCGGAACCATTTATACGAGCATGTACTGATCTTGAACTTTCCAGCTGGCAAGGTTTTCAGTCGTGCAATTGACAGTTGCGTGCTGCAGTAGATGGTGCAGCCGCGGGAATCTACACATGTGTGCCTAAGAAGCAGATCTGAATAGGTTGTAGCCGAATCCTTCTGTCGCCCCCATGTACCTATATCACACTGTAGCTCCTAAGCTCCCAAAGCATGAAGACCTAACTCAACTCCTGCAGGATTCGGGGCTGTAACCCTAAACCCAACATGCAAAGCCCCGAGTAACGACAGCCCCGAATCCTGCAGGAGTTGAGTTAGGGACATTAATAATTGCCACCGGGGTTTCGGGGATGCTACAGTAACATTGGAATACGGAATCTGTAAATGTAGATATAGGTGAAAATTCTGATGTCAAAATAAAACACCCCAAACACTAAACCTTAAACCGCCGACCCTAAAATCGAGTTTTTAATCCAGAACCCGAAACCCGAAACCCTAAACTACTAAGTCTGTAGGCCCTTGGAAGGAACCCTTCAAAGAACCCTTTCAGGAACCCTAAACCCGCAATTGCCCGAAATCCCCAGGCAGCCAAGGGGCGGAGTCCGGCTCGGATGCAGCTCTGCGCTGATCACGTTGCCTGGAGCAGCGATGTTTTGGTTCATTGTCTCTAGGGTTTAGGGTTTACAAATTAGGGTGAATAATAACGGGGTTTGTGTTTAGGGCTGAGGGTTCATGGGTATTTTGGAGTTTCCTGTAGGGTAATCACAGGGTTTGTGGCTTAAAAGGGTTCCTGTAAGGGATGAATCTAAAAAGGGTTGTATAATACAGAATTCAGAAATGGGTTTCGGTCCCAGGATGAGAAGGAAGCAGGGGAGAAGTAACATGCATAGCTGGTTTGGTAGCCCTCAGAGCAGGTTTAGCTTTAGGATCTATGCCTTAAACTTCAACGGTGCTTGCTGAGCTGTGAGACAGAGATTCCACAGCATGCAGCAAAGGACTCGTCTCCTTGGCCGACTTAGTCTAAGCTACAGTAGCGTTTCTGCTTAAGCCTCCTTGTTCCATGGCCTCATGGCCCTCTTGAGGCTGATTCTTTGGGTGCTAAGCTCTTGCTTCTTTTCTGAGGGCCGCAGCCTTGAGCCTGAGTTGTCGGCTGCAGGGACTGACTAGGACCTCTGCCTGAGCTTCAGTCTAGCGCTAGGCTCCAGGCCCTAGGCTGGCTAACCTAGGCCCTGGCCGTAGGCCGGAGGCCGTGAGGCTATAGGCTAGCTAACCCAGGCCCTGGGGCCCCCGGGCCTAGGCCTCAGGCCGGCCTGAAGCTGAAGGCCGCTAGCTAGACTCTAGACTCCAGGCTTCAATCCTAATCTGTCCGAGCTCTTTCTTACTCAATGGGCTTCTGTCTCACAGCAAGCAGCCAATGAAAACTGCCCTGTGCAGACTTACCAGGGGCCCACGCGCCCTCTCAGGCCTCTGCTGCTACGCATCTTGTCTCGCAGTTTTGTGTGCCGGTGCCCTACGCGCTCATTCGCAAATATGCCACGCGTCAGTTGTGCTACGCGTCACCTCTGCTACGCGCAGTTTTGGCGTAATTGTTCCCTCGGGCAACGCAAATCCGCGTAAAAGAAGTCTCGGGCCACGCGCCTGACCGGCGTAATTCATCCCTCGGGCAACGCAAATCCGCGTAAAAGAAGTCTCGGGCCACGCGCCTGACCGGCGTAATTCATCCCTCGGGCCACGCACATCGGCGTAAAACATCTCGTGTGCCACGCAGCCTAGGGCCAGGAGTGAAATTACTGCGGCCGCGTGACGCCCTAAGCAAAACTAGGGCCAAAACGTGGCGTAAAAACCCTAAGCAAAACTAGGGCCAAAACCTGGCGTAAAACACCTAAGCAAAACTAGGGCCAAAACCTGGCGTAAAAACCCCTAAGCAAAACTGGTACCTTTTTCAGGTGTGCACCTCCCCTAAGGCCCTAAGGGAAAAGGGCACCCAAATCTGGCATAAAACTCCTCTGAGGGTCCATAGAGTACAGATGGCATCTGTTGCAAAGCTCAACCCAAGGTCTGAAGGCCTCTGACTCCAAGGACTCTACGGCCACGGACTGATAGCGTAAGCATGCTGCTTATGAGGCTTGGGGGCTTAGGCTTATAAGGGCTCCAGGCTTAAGGCTTAAGGCTTTAAGCACTCTAGGCTGTAACTGTTTTTGTTCCTGAAACCTTGAGCCTTAAGACGGACTTTTAATTGCTCCCGCGGGTACCCGCACAGGGCCCGCGGGTACCCGCACAAGGCCCCTGCGGGTACCCGCACACAGCCGGTACGTCTGTGGGTATGTGGAATCACCTCAAAGTCTTTAATGAACTAGGACCTAGGAAGCTTTCTGCAAAGACCTCAATGGAGCTTACTTAGCCAATTCAAGAACACGCCAACAAGACATGTGGGTACCAGCACAGGGCACACGGGTACCCGCACAAGGCCCCCGCGGGTACCCGCACAAGGCCCCCGCGGGTACCCGCACAAGGCCCGCGCGGGTACCCGCAAAAGGCACGCGCGGGTACCCGCAAAAGGCCCGCGCGGGTACCCGCAGAAGGCCCGCGCGGGTACCCGCACAAGGCCCGCGCGGGTACCCGCACAAAGCCCCCGCGGGTACCCGCAAAAGGCCCGCGCGGGTACCCGCACAAAGCCCGCCCGGGTACCTGCACAGGGCCCGCGGGTACCCGCACAAGGCCTCCGCGGGTACCCGCACAAGGCCCGCGGGTACCCGCACAAGGCCCCCGCGGGTGCCCGCAGAAGGCCCGCGCGGGTACCCGCACAGGGCCCGCGGGTACCCGCACAAGGCTCCCGCGGGTATACCCGCACAAGGCCCGCGCGGGTACCCGCACAAGGCCCGCGCGGGTACCCGCAAAAGGCCCGCGCGGGTACCCGCACAAGGCCCGTGCGGGTACCCGCAGAAGGCCCGCGCGGGTACCCGCACAAGGCCCGCGCGGGTACCCGCACAAGGGCCGCGCGGGTACCCGCAAAGCGCCGGTATGTCTGTGGGTAATACTGAACTACCTAAGCCTTAAGCCTTAAGCCTTAAGCTTTCTGCAAAAACCTCAATGGAATTTACTTAGACGTAGTCAATTCAAGAACACGCCAAGAAGCCACGCGGGTACCCGCACAAGGCCCGCGCGGGTACCCGCACAAGGCCCGCGCGGGTACCCGCAAAAGGCCCGCGCGGGTACCCGCAAAAGGCCCGCGCGGGTACCCGCAGAAGGCCCGCGCGGGTACCCGCACGAGGCCCGCGCGGGTACCCGCACAAGGCCCGCGCGGGTACCCGCAAAGGGCCGGCATGTCTGTGGGTAATACTGAACTACCTAAGCCTTAAGCCTTAAGCCTTAAGCTTTCTGCAAAAACCTCAATAGAATTCACTTAGACTTAGTCAATTCAAGAACACGCCAAGAAGCCACGTGGGTACCCGCACAAGGCCCGCGCGGGTACCCGCACAAGGCCCGCTCGGGTACCCGCAAAAGGCCCGCGCGGGTACCCGCAGAAGGCCCGCGCGGGTACCCGCACAAGGCCTCTGCGGGTACCCGCACAAGGCCCGCGCGGGTACCCGCGCAAGGCCCGCGCGGGTACCCGCACAAGGCCCGCGCGGGTACCCGCACAAGGCCCGCGCGGGTACCCGCAAAGGGCCGGTATGTCTGTGGGTAATACTGAACTACCTAAGCCTTAAGCCTTAAGCCTTAAGCTTTCTGCAAAAACCTCAATGGAGTTTACTTAGACTTAGTCAATTCAAGAACACGCCAACAAGCCACGCGGGTACCCGCACAAGGCCCGCGCGGGTACCCGCACCAGGCCCCCGCGGGTACCCGCAAAAGGCCCGCGCGGGTACCCGCACAAGGCCCCTGCGGGTATCCGCACATTGGGTAATACGTACTGAACTACGTAAGCTTTCTGCAAAAAC